GGGTAGGAACAGGGGCATCAGAGGAGAGCTGTGGGGTAGGAACAGGGGCATCAGAGGAGAGCTGTGGGGTAGGAACAGGGGCATCAGAGGAGAGCCGTGGGGTAGGAACAGGACCAAGCTTAGATTGAGCAAGGAAACCTCAGACCCTGAACTGCTCTGCCCGACAGGATGGTGCTCTTGCTGCAGCTGGGGCCTCCAGGGAGGACATGGAGTGTTTGGAGCTTGCAGCTGAAGCCTGACTGGGGGCTGTCCTTCAATGCTGACTGCTTAGTCACCAGGGGAAGATGGCCACCAGAGATGACCAGCAAGAATTAGTACTCTAGACAGAGCCCTGGGGTGCGGGTGAAGCCACCCTGGAGGAGAGTCCCGGTGCCTGCAAGCAGGACAGTTGCTGTGGAGGAAGCAGAAGGGCTACAGGTGAAGGCCCCCAGGCTCCTCCCAGCCTCGGGCCAGCAGAGCTGCAGGCCAGGCCAGGCGCCCTCTGACGGGAGGAGACTGCACTCCAGAATACTGAAATTATTAAGGAAAACGAGTTTACTGAGAAAATTACCCAGTAAATCAGACGGTCAATGACACTGTCTGTTTGGGATTTGGGGTTTTTGTCTGTTGGATTTTTCCCCTTTGTTGTGTGTTGCAGATTTAATCAGAAACACTGAGTTCAGAAACTACAATCTTTCTGAAATCCAGCCCTGTGGGCCTGAATCAGAATGCCTGGGGCGTGTGTGTTCAGAGATCTTAGTCTCAGCTGCACACACCCCAGGTTCCATCAGGGACTCATGAAAGCAAGCTATATCCCAGTAAAGCGGGCTATCTCGAGCAAAGCCCAGAACACTGCTCCAAGTCACTGAATCAAAATCCAGGGCCTGAACCCAACACAGTACTCTCAAATACATCCACAAAACTATCTGAAGCCCACTTGGGAGTGGGGAGTAGGAGGCCTGCCTGCCTGCTGGATTCTGGGGCTACAAGGAACCAAGGAGGCTCTGTCCTGGGCCCTCACGACACTAGTCACTTTCCTAGGTGACACGAACCCCCTTGTTCCCTCAGCAGCTTCATGGGGACAAAGCATTCCTTTCCCCCAGCAGACTCACTGAAGTTACCTGCGTCTATGGATGTGTGGAGCATTAAAACAATAGCAACACAGATTATTCACAAATTCCTATGCCCACACACACACAGGAAGTACCCAGCTTGCAATGGGGGTGAGGGAGGGGGAAGGCTCCCCTGAGAAAATCCCCAGAGCGGGGAGCTAAAGACTCAAGAGGTGTCAACAAAAACCCAAGTAAAAGCTGGCGGCTTCACAACCTGCTCCCTCCAACTCCTCCTCCTCCTCCTCCTTCTAATAGCAGCTCAAGGCTCCTTTGAAAAGCCAGAGCACACCAAGAAAGTTGGGATCCCACCATCAGAGTGCCCTGAGAAAGGGGGGACCTCCCAACGTGAGTGTACTGAGAAAGGTGGGTTCCCCCATTGGAGTGTCCTGTAAAAGAAGGTGGGTTCCCCCATTGGAGTGTCCTGTAAAAGGTGGGTTCCCCCCTTTAGAGCACAGAGGAAGACAGGATGCTGCATTAATCATCCTCCAGGAAGCAATCCTGATGTGTTCACTAACTAACAGCATCCTGCGGATGTGGCTCAAACTTCAGTCTCATGGGGACTGAAATTATGAGGGTGACTTCCAACCCCCTGTGGTGGCCTTTCTGTCCTTAGGCTCATGCCCCTGACTCCAACCTCAGCAGGCAGCAGTTTCTTAAAGCTGACTTAACTGGAGAGGCAGGGGTAATAAGAGATCCCAAAAGCAGGCCCTCACCTACACCGACAGCTCCATCTATCCGCAGGACTCCTAATGCTCCGACATAGTGTCCCACCCCGGCAGTACAGATGGGACTCTGACTGTTTTCCACACCCCACACACAAAGCCAACTCATTTTTGCCCTTTATGTTGGGATTGATGTATAGAAGGTGGGCTGAATTTGATTGGTCACCGGGGGAGGCATCTACAATTGTTTTCCATGGCCACAGCAAAGGGTGAGCTGGACAAGTGATACACACTGGAACCCAAACACTGGGGGAGGGAGGGGAGGGACTAGAAGCGGGCAAGATGGGGAAAGGGGCCAGAGACAGACATGGAAGACAGCAAACTCCCACCTTCTTCCTCACCTCCTGACCTGAGGTAAGGGCCTGGCATGGCAGTCTTTTGTTTTCCACAGCAGGACTGGCTTCTGGCTGAAATGGTACAGGCTATGTTCGAGGCCAAACGTGAACATGTCTACCTCAAGCTGTGGCCTATCACCTCCTCTGTCTTTAAGATGACCAAAATTAAGCCAGGTGGCAGTGTTGCACACCGTTAATCCCAGCACTTGGGAGGCAGAACCAGGCGGATCTCTGTGAGTTCGAGGCCAGCCTGGTCTACAGAGCGAGATCCTGGACAGGATCTACAAAACTACACAGAGAAACCCTGTCTCAAAAAACCAAAAAAAAAAAAAAAAAAAAAGATGACCAAAATTAGGTGAGGGGGACCTGTGCCATGCCCTAAAACACTTAGAAGACCCAGGGCTGGGGGCTGGAAAGATGGCCCAGCAGTCAGGACTGTTGATCCTCCACAGGAGCAACGAGCTCTCACCAGCTGAGCCCTCTCCCTAGTTCCTCTTTCTGTCTTAACCCTCAGGCTGAAGTCTGTGAAACACCCTTTATTTTACAGTAATTCATATGCTGGAGAACTGAGTCAAAGAAATGAACCGGGACTGACTGGTGAGCGAGTGGGCAGGTACTGTGGTGCACTGGTGGAGACGGGCTTAGCTTTACAGACGCAGTCTAAAGACAAGACGGAAGGGTCACAGCTCAGCGGGACGGCACGGGCTCCGCCTGCACAGAGCCCTGCATTTGATCCACAGGACCAATAAGTACGTAAGTAACTTAGAGGTGACCTCGTGGCCCATCTGCTCTCCTCACACTTTCACTGACACCCTCATCCCTATTCTCCTTCTCCCAACAAGAAACTTCTGATGGTGGAAACCCTGTCTGTCGCGCCCCCACATTGGTGTTCAAAGAGCCCATCCCAGTGCCTGATATGAGACCACACCCAAGTTCTAGTCCCTGTCCATCACTGCAGAGCAAGCACCAGGAATGTTCTAGAATAGACCCATCCCCAGGGCTGGGATGATCAGCATCTGTGCTAAAGAAGGTGGGCAAGCTACTTGAGCACGCTCCTCTATGGAATGGGGCTAGCACGTCTCTCCGAGAGCTGGCTGGCACATGCTGGCACAGACAGCTGTGAATCCTCAAGTCCTACCAAACCACGGACTAACCACTCCTGTAAAACAGAAAGTGGGAGGGGAAATGCAGGAGGGTGGGTATCTGCAAGAATGAACAAATTAAAAAGATTCTTTAGGGTGGGCATAGTGGTGCATGCCTTTAATACCAACACTCAGGAGGCAGAGGCAGGTGGATCTCTGTGAGTTTGAGGCCAGCTGGTGTACACAGGGAATTCCAAGACAGCCAAGACAGGCTCACACCTAAGCAGGGCTCAGGACAGACAGACATCAGCTTCCCTATAATTAGTGTAAACAACCCCAGGCCCTTCTCCTGGCCTCATTCAAAACAATGAAGCTTCATTTGTCTGAAGCCCCTTGGATGCCAGAGGAATTTGATTCTTTTGTTTTTCTGGGGTTCTGCCAGTGGTCTGAACCAACAAATAGAGCTGCTACCTCATCCATCTGAGACAAGCTGCCAACCCTTCCAGGAACACAATGCCTTTCTGCTTCAAAGAAGTACCCTGAGTGACCTGCTCCATGCCACAACAAAGGAGCCAGACCCCCGCATAAGGCTTCTTCTCACCTGTTAAAACAGCATTTGATAGCATACAAAAGACAATCTGTCAGTGACTTACCTCAAATTCTTCCCAAAAGCCCTGTTTGACTTTATCTGTGGTCTCAGCTAGCTTGCTTAGCTCTCGAACCCGGCTTTCGATTTCAGCAGCATTAATCCGAGTCGTGTTGAGGGGCTGGTGTTCAGCATGGTGGGAAAGGAAGAAAACGTGTTGAACAGTGTTAACCCAGAAAGAAAAAGACTTCACAAGAGCAAAGGCAGGATGCACATCACCCCAAATAGGTGCATGTGTATGAGTGCCTATGCATGCATGTGTGCATCTGTGTGTATGTGTGTGCATTCATGCATGTGGGTGTGTTCATGTTTGTGTGGTGTGCTCATACATTTGTGTGTGATATGTGACTGTGTTCTGGTGCCTTTGTGCATGTGTGCATGTGTGTGTGTGATGTGTGTGTGTGTGTGTACACGATGGTGACGTGTGGAGATCAGGGACAGCATTGAGGAGATGGTTTTCCCCTTCCTTGTTTAGGTGGGCTGCAGGGATAAAACCCCAAAGCACCAGCACTCTCCCTGAGCCCCCTGAGCCCCCCTGAGCCCCAAACTCAAACACTTGGAAATGTACTTTCACTTTCTCTCCTGTTCCACCAGGAAATGCCTCTTCACTCTCAACCAACATGTTAGAACTCAGCTGGTACAAATGCAAACCTAGATTTCTAGACAGTTAAACCACAGCGCAATTTCCAGATGAGACCACTGTCATAAAAGTGAAACAGCTGAGCTCGGGAGAGCCTGTCCTGCCCCTTGCCAGCTGCCACAGGCTGGAGAACTGGCCCCACCCCTCACCTGAGCAAATCGGGAGAGCCGGCCCTGGTGGCCAGGATGCAGGAGGGCTGACCACCTCTGCTACTACCCAGACCCACACTCAGGGCTTTGAGTTGGTCCATCCCAATATCTGCCCTATCCATGAAGTTCGAGAAGGGGCTGGTCCTGCAGAACTAAAGGACCTCTGTGACACAGGGCAACAACAGGACATCCGAGAGGATTCCCGGTGAGGGCCCAGTGTTGACAGTGCAGCAGAAGCCAGAGCCTCCAACCAGACCAGTGACTCACTGCAACCGACATTTGCAAGTGAAGCTGTCTGGACAAAAGGGCAGACTGTGAGACATAGCAGCTTCCACGGAGAGACTTGTTTTTGTTTGTTTTCTTTTGGGGGAAGGCTGCAAGGAGAGAGGGTGAACATGGAGTGATGGGGAAATAGGGGGATTGGGGTGCATGATGTGAAATTCACAAAGAATCAATAAAAAGTTTTTTAAAAGGGGAAACAGCAAAAACTCCAAGCTGAGAAAGTGTGAGTCCCCCAAGGGAACTAATGGTAATTTGCAGTGAACATTTCTTTTTTATGTGCACTGGTGTTTGGTCTGCATGTCTGTGTGAGAGTCGGAACCACTGGAACTGGAGTTAGAGACAGCTGTGAGCTGCCATGTGGGTGCTGGGAATTGAACCTGGGTCCTCTTTTTTAAAGGGCATGATAGTACGTATGTGTCAGCCCAACATGGAGGCAGGAGGGTCACGAGCCTAGCAGGGCTACATAGCAAGACTATTTATCAAGAACAAAGGACAAAGCAGTCTACACATGTGGGTGCTGGGATGGACTTCAGTGCTGAGGACTTGCCTATAGTATGCACAAGTCCCTGAGTGCTGGACTCCCCAGCACTGAAGAAAAGAACAAAATCCTCTGTAAGGAGGCAGGCCATACATCTGTGGAGACCCACAGAGGCTCCCTAATGACACCTTACTCAAGGTCAGAGGATCTGAGCTTACTTTACCCAGCAGGGCTACATAAGGGGATGATTTGGCCATGGGTGTGGTTACCAGGTGTTTTGAAGGGTCTACACTTGGCTGTACATTGTGCTTTGATCTTGAAAGGGGGAGGTCTCTTGCCTCTCCCCTTGGTAGTGTATAAAAAAATCCTTTGGAATAAACTTTGAGGCGACTGGGCCTTGACCCAGGGCCCTCCAGAAGCTATCCTGTGTCTGTCTATATGTCTATCTAAGACTTCCTCATTCCTCTCTCCTCCCTGCAAAAGGCCTTTGACAGGTCAGAGCTGGACTCCGACAGACTCCCACATATATCCCAGAGTTCAAGCGTGGTGTGCCCTGGGTTTAACCCCAACCCCAAACACTCTGAGGTCCTTCACAGATGTGGAAATGACGCAGCATCTAGAATTTGTTTCCAAACACTAAATGAGGTGTCCTGTCAGTGAAGAGACTAGAGACTGTATGCCAATACTCTGTCTACTCCCACATTACGATATGATCTTGAGTGAAACCCAAGGGACCACGTGTTGAAGGCTTGGTCCCAACCCTAGGTGCTACCGGGAGGTAGCAGAACCTTAAGAAGGTAGGGTCTACCTACCCTAGGGCAGGTCACTGATGCAGATCAGGGCCCTTCCTGTCTCTGTTTCTCAGCCATGTGGTAAACACCCCCAAGTGTTCCCACCATGGTAAATGTGCCACCACAGGCCAAGGCAGCAGGGCCAGGTGACTGGGGGCTCCTCCTTTGAACCCTTTCCCCTATCCGCCAGTGCTTCTGTATGTTGTCACAGTGACGGGACACTGACTGGTACACATACAGGGCAGACTCCATGCCAGCCTTCTCCCAACCCTGAGCAGAGGCAGCTCCAGTTTCCTGACCTGCTTGAGCTGCAGGACCGTGCCCAGCGTCTCCACCATGGGGTTCTTCTTGTAATGCTCCACCAGGTCTGTCAAAGAGTCAAAGCGCTCTCCTCCGCCAACGTCGTACTTCAGTTCCTTCCAGACCAGACAGATGGTGCTCATTATTACCTCAGGCTAGCCCACTGCCTTCCCACCCTCCTGCGGCCACTGCGTTCTCAGTGACACTTAACCTGTGTAACCAAGCCACTGGCTGTCTGGAGGGCACGATGAGAACAAGACACACTTGTGCATCACGTCTGTGTCACCACAGTGGAGCCAGACTGGGCCTTGAGAAGAAAACCTGTCCCTGGTGACAACTGAGACAGGAGGCCCCGCCTAGCAAATCAAAGAAGCCACTTTGGACACACGAAGGAGCGTGTGTCACCTCACTTATGTGTAGCCTCCAAAAACAAGTCCAACACACAGTGACAAGAGATCAGATGGTGGCTATGAAGGACTTGGGTGCAGGAGAAGGTACTGGTGACACACAGACCCTCCCTGTGTGGTGAACAGGCTCAGGAACCCCAATCCATCCACAGCAGGTGACAGCGGTGGACAGGGTACACACACTGCAGATCTGCCAGGAGGACATGTGAAGGGTTACGAGGTGATGGGTAAAAAACTACACTGTATTCAACGGAAGCCAGAGACCGACTCCGGAAACGGATAGCCCACTGTCCTCAGTGCTGTGAAGGAAAGAGAGCAAGAGCAGCTGGCGGGGGGGGGGGGGGCGGCCTCAGGGGTGGAACAGGTGCCAGGTTCCATCCCAGCACCAGAGACAAGAGGTGGCCTAACACTTAATTACATCAGAATCAAACAGAAACTCCACACGGGCTGCCACATGCTTCCCATCACCTCCAGACTCCTCCCGGTGCCTAGGGCGGCATCAGTGCTCACGTAAGGTCATGTACAGCTGTGAAGCTAGATGGGACTAGAAAGTCTTCCCATGTCTAGACGGACAGGATGCTGAAGACTGCTGGCCCCAGGGGGTGGATCCACAGACAAGGAGGGCCCAGTGCGGTGTCGCCCGCCTGTGACACTCCTTAGGACAGTCAATCCCACAGAGCAGAGGCCGTGTGCACTGAAGCATCTGTCAGAGATGGACCCAAAGAAAAACCAGAATGGAAAACTGGGCATGGTGGCAGCATGGCCAGGGCAGGCGGATCTCTGTAGGTTCCAGGCCTGGCTAGCCTACAGAGCAAGTTTCCGGACAGCCAGGGTACACAGAGAGATGCCGCCTCAGAAAAACAAAAAACAGCTCGGTGGTGGTGGTGCACGCCTTTAATCCCAGCACCTGGGGGGCAGAGGCAGGCGGATCTCTGTGAGTTCGAGGCCAGCCTGGTCTACAGAGTAAGTTTCAGGACAGCCAGCGCTACACAAAGAAATCCTGTCTCGAAAAACAAAAACAAAAAAATCCAACAGAAAAACACAACAACAACAACAAAAAAAAGAATAAAAGTAACAGTGCTTCAAAACAATGAGACAGACCCAGGAGAGACAGCCATGAGCAAGGAAACTGAGCTAAGCGAATCCTGATGTGTGGGTGTCTGGTCCCCAAATGACACTGCACCAGCCCCACAGTCCCGGGCGCTCTACCTGACAGCGGATCATGACGTGGGTCACTTTGGACTTGCCGTCATTGCTCTCCCCTTTGTCGTCACCGGTTCGGACGGACAGAACGAAGTCCCCGGGGTGGCTCTGGCTCTCTCGGACAAGAAAGCTGCCATGCTTCCCCTTCTCCGTCAGCAGCTTCTCTGCTTCCTTTCCAGACAAGTGACCATGGAACCACCTATGTGTGGGAAAAGCAAAGGAGCCGGGCTCAGCTGGGCTGTGCAGTGATGTCCATGTACCACAGAGTCAGCTCTCCTCAACACAGCTTCCAGACAGACAGCTTTCTCCAGGGGACGGACTGTCCCACTACAGACTGCATCCCGACAGACAGGAAAATGACAAAGATGTGTCATTTTTCTTTACTGAGACAATAAAAGTATCAGTGCTGAGATTACAGGCAATGCCACCACACTGGCCTCCACTAAATTTTAACAAGGAGCCCAGGATCATTTGAAAACAATATCCGCCACATGATGGTGGTACACACCTTTAATCCCAGCACTCAGGGGGCAGGCAGAGGCAGATAGATCTTTGAGTTTGAAGCCATCCTGATATACAGAATAGAGTGAGTTCTGGGACAACCAGGGCTATACAGAGAAACCCTGTCTCAGAAGAAAAAAAAAAAAAAAAAAAAAGGAAGAAGGGAGAAAGGAAACAATATCTTCAATGCTTCCTATTTCCTTTTAAATCTCCCATCTTTTTTTTTTTTTTTTTTTTTTTTTTGGTTTTTCGAGACAGGGTTTCTCTGTGTAGCTTTGTGCCTTTCCTGGAGCTCACTTGGTAGCCCAGGCTAGCCTCAAACTCACAGAGATCCGCCTGCCTCTGCCTCCCAAGTGCTGGGATTAAAGGCGTTCGCCACCACCGCCCGGCATAAATCTCCCATCTTTTAAAAATACATTTGACTTTTTTTTTTAAGTGCCTAACCCTAAAAGAACCAACTGTTGAGTTACAGGCATTTAGTGAAAAGATAAGAAAAAGTTACAAGCCTGGGCACGGTGGCACATGCCTGTAATTCATGTGTGCTTACTAGTTTATGTCAACTTCATACAAGCGAGAATCATTTGGGAAGAGCGAGCCTCAGTTGAGGAAATATCCCCACCAGACTGGTCTATAGGCAAGCAAACCTACGGTGCATCTCCTTAACTGATGATTGGTGGAGGGGGGCACTGCCCACTCTTGGCCATGCCATCCTTTAGCTGGTAGTCCTGGGTGATCTAAGAGCAGGCTGAGCAAACCAAGAGGGCAAGCCAGTAAACAGCATTCCCTCATGGCCTTTACATCAGCTCCTGCCTCCAGGTTCCTGCCTCCAGTTCCTGCCCTGACTTCCCTGGATGATGGACTATAAGCTGTAAGATGGAGTAAGCCCTTTCCTCCCCAAGTTGATTTGGTCATGGCGTTTTATCACAATAACAGAAACCCTGACTGAGACACTGTACACTAGGGAGTGGAGGCGAAAGATGAGGAGCACAGGGTCACCCTCAGTTACACAGCCATCAGGAGGCCAGCCCATCCTGCATGAGACCTGGACTCAAGCAACAAATAAATTATGAAAGAGACAAGATGATCATGAACCTGTGCTCATTTTGACATTAGATAAAAAGGGATCTTTGTTATAAATTAATTCAAAGCACCAGATTTTTCTGTACTTCTAACCTATACTTATGTGTCTCTCAATCTGCTGTCCAGTTCTTCAAACTACACTGGGTTATCAGTCAAGCTTTAATGGTATGTACATCTTGGAGCAGGGACAGGGGTTTCCCTAACAGTGTGAGCTCCCACAAGCAGAGAGCGATGTCTACATGGAACCCAAAAGGCTATACTTTAACTGTTGTGCTGGAGTCTGGATGCAGGCTGTCCAGGGTCATGAAATGGCAGGTTCTGAAACAACTCAGAACCACAGGGGTCACCACAGAAGCATCGGAACCGAGTCACAGGAACGTCACCGCTTTAGGGAAGAAAGCCAACATTTGCTAGCAGGTAACACTCCTTCCTCCCCAAAGACTTGGTCAGCGATCTTCCATCTACACACCACTGAAAAGGTCCATGCAGAACTACAGCAGGTGAGACAGCTGGAGGCTACAGCAGCCCTTGGAGAAACAAATGACCAGCACATAATACGGGCATCACGGAAAGAAACGATATACAGACCCAGAACCTGCAGTCAGAAAGGGACTGCAGAAGCCAAGGCCAGGGCCAACCAAACAAGCACTAGCTCTCAACTCCAAACCCATGGGAAGGGCTCTTCCACGTGGCAGTTCTCCACAGACAGTCATGCTCACACATTTGGAACTAGAAGGTGAAGAGCCATGGGCTTAGCCTGACCTCTGTTGGTAGTGCTGCTGAACAACTGGTCTGAGCCACTACGGAACACTGCTGCTGTTCCAGCATCTTCCATGAGCTTTGGCTCATGAGCTGTGGATAAATCTCACAATTAAAGCCTAAAGTACTAAATCTACTCGGGGAGACGTGAGAGCCCCGTGGAGTCCATGGAGTCCATGGAAGGAACGCTGGCCACAGCTGCTGTGAGGGAAGGGCGTTCTGCAAATACTCTGACGCCATCATTCCTACTTTAACACACCCCCAGGCTGGGGCGGGGCTCAGTGTGTAGAGAGCCTCGCTAGCACGACCCAGCCTGTGCTCAACCCCCAGGACCACATCAGTCAGACACAGTGAAGCACCTCTGTAACCCTAGCCCTCAGGAGCTAGAAGCAAGAAGATCAGGAATTCAGTCATCTTGCTACACAAGGAGTCCCAGGCCACCCTGAACTACACTAAACCCTGCCACAAACAAAACAAAATGTAACATTTTAAAAATGACAGCACGGGGAGCTGGAGAGATGGCTCAGCAGTTAAGAGCACTGGCTGCTCTTCCAGAGGACCCGGGTTCAATTCCCAGCAACCACATGGTGGCTCACAGCTGTCTGTAACTCCAGTTCCAGGGGACCTGACACTCATAGCAAAACACCAATGCACATTAATTAATTAACTCATTAATTGAAAAAGATGACAGCATGAGGGACAGACAACCAGCTTTGGAGTCACACAGATCCTATGTGCCCCACAAGACGGGCACATAGCATGTAGCCCTAGAGTGCAGATTAGCGCTCATTAAGGTGTCACTGACCTTTCAGAGGTCGGGTCTGCGCAGTTCAGTGGGTACTTGAGCTCAATAACATCTCCGTTCTTCTCTTTCAGCTGTCCGTGATGCTCCATGTAATACTGGACCAGTTCAGCCAAGGTGGCAAACTTCTCCCCACCATAGAGGTCATAGTAGTCCCCAGTGTTCTGAATCTTGATGTGGGTGACGGCTCCATTTCTTCTAAAATAGTCCATTGGGGGGAGGGGTGTCAAAGAGCAATACTTGGAAAAAGAGACCTCACATTAGGAGAAGATTTCACCCAAACCCTGGAACAAACCCAATGAGAAGATGTACCCCATCCCTGAAACTGGAGATCAAATCACCCCACCAACTGTGCCAACCCACAGCACTGTGTCTGCCTGTGACCTGGGTAGCTTCAATTTTGAACTGCTGGCCTACTTTTATGGTATAGGTTGAGTGACAACTATTACTGTCCTTAACACAGTTGCTAAAATCAAACACCCACTACCAGCAAATCCACTCCTAATCGTTTTTGTCCAAGGCAATAATAACGAATAGATAGCAAAAGACTTTCAAAAACGAACAAGTAAAAGATAGAAACTCAAAATACTTATCACCAAGATACACCAACAGTCAGGCACTTGGAAGGCTGAGGCAGAAAGACACTGGGCTACAGAGCAAGACCATGTTTAAAATAAATAAGAAAATGTACAGGCTTGCTTGTAAATATATAAATATTGCCTAAAAAGTATGGTGATGCACACCTATAATCCAGCACTTGGGAGGCTGAAGCAGGGGGATCAGAAGTTTAAGGTCAGCCTTCAATACATGAGATCATGTCTCAAAAACACAAAACAAAATGAAAAGACCCAACAACAAGAAAAATAAACAGGGCCCAATGAGATGGTTTAGTGGGCAAAGGGGGCTTGCCAGCAAAGCTGACCTGACAAACCTGTTCAATCCCCAGGACACACATGGGAGAAGGAGAAAAGCAACCCCCAAAGCTGTCCTCCGACCTATACAGTCATGCCATGACACTTGTACACACGCACACACACCAAATAAATGTAAAAAAACATGTTTTTTAATTAGCACATAAAAAATGTAAATGCTAAAAAAAATTAAATTAAATTAAAAATTTGTGAGTGGTGTGCTGGCTCAGCAGGAAAAGTCTGGCAGCCTAAGCCTGGTCCTTGAGAGGCACAAGAACTATGGTGGGAGGAGGGAGCTGGGGCAGGAGGAGGGAAGAGGGGCAGGAGGAGGGGGCTGGGGCAGGAGGAGG